ACATAATGATCAAGGCCATAACTAATTGTTGTTTGTGTTGAGTGAAACCTTCTTTGGGCCGTGATCATGGTGACATGTTGAGATGTGTTTAACAAACAGACAAATATACATCAATGATGAGGGTCTTGCTTGACAATATGTTTCAATTACTGCCAAATTGTTCTTCTAAATTAACTGCAGAAAAAGCTATTGGCTAAAAAACCTGTTCTACAACAACTACTGGAAATAACAAAGCACTGCCAAGAACATCTTTTACATCAAATAATAATAATAATAATAATGTATTTATAAAGCGACTAATATCCACCACAGAGACATTACTAAATCCTTAATCATATTCTGAAGATATTTTCTGAAAAAAAGGGTTCGTTTCTGTTCAGACACTCATATATACTCAAATTGGATTATTGAAACTGAAAGTTTACTGATATGAGTTGATGTGTTTAGGACAGGACATTCTTACATTTAGTCTTGAACACCTGGTGTCTTCACAGACTTTCAGCAAACCATTCCAAAATTTTTCACAGACTCCTAAACTGTTCATGGCAATTTTGCCATTAACACCCTTTGCAATCTGGTATGTTACATAATTGAGATAATTCATTTACATTTATAATTTGTTAGTTATTAGTTACTAGCTATTTACCATTTCCATTGCTTCCTCTGTTTCTTGCATTATATGGCACATAGAGATTCCTACACAACTGTCTGTCACACATCATTTGTCTTATAATGAATTGTTTCCAAATGTCTCTAACAAGGGAAGGTGAATCAGATACATTTTCAAACAAGTTTGTGTATGACCTGTTCCTTACACTCACTTAAACCACACCATATTACCCTTGAATCTACACATATTTTGTGTATTCTCATGACCAAAGTGCTGCATTAATACATAATATAACAGCAATATTTGACATCATTTTGCCTACTGGTATTACTCATACCTAGTGTAACCCTTCACTCAAACATTTCACTCACACCTGTGGATCAAGACAGATTATGAGCTAGATACGACCTATGTACATTAGTTAACAGTCTAAAACCATTAAGTTTCAGTGACCTTTACAGAAGCACAACCAACTTATAAGTAAAGGACACTAAGGAAAGTAATCTGACCTTAGGTCATTATCATGGAGTAGCCAATCACGGTTACAGAATTCAGTCTCATGGATATGTCTCATACATTTATATCCCATAGGTTCCTCGCCCAGAGGAATGTAAAAACAAGTCTAGATCCGTTAGAGAAACACATACCGTATATTACCCAGCTGAAAAGGCACCATGGTTGACCATGGTCAACCACGGCTTACCATGGTTTGCCATGCTAAACCGTGGTGACCAACATTTCTCCCCATGGTAAACCATGATAGACCATGGTCACCATGGTATACCACAGCAGACCATGGTCACCAGAAACCATGGTAGACCGTGGTCACCAACATTTCTCCCCATGGTATACCATGGTAGATCATGGTATACAACAGCAGACCATGGTCATTATAGACCATGGTCACCAGAAACCAGGGTAGACCATGGTCATCTTAGACAAAACAATGGTAGACCATGGTGTTCTCATACAAAGTAATGGTTGACCATGGTCATCACATACAAATCTATGGTAGACCATGGTCATGACAGACCAATTTTACATTTCAAACTGTGATAAATAAAATTGAATTCCTGACTGTTTCATGACATTGTGTTTCATTTATGAATAACAAATAACGGGAGCATTCAATGAAGTGTTACACAAGCAGTATACCAATAGCATTACAAAGGATATGTGTGTAAAACATGTAAGTGGCAGATGAAAAATGTTTTTGCCTGAGTTAGTTTAACCCAACCGTTATGACTTTTTGGAGTTAGGTTATCTGTGATCGAATGGTGTCAAAGTTCACGGTGCTTGTAAAGGTCAGCCTGAAAGATTCAGTTTGTTTGCTTAGATTACACAGACAGCAAAATAAATTCAAAGGATCATAAAAAGGGAGATAATTGCTATAGGCATGTTTATGGATATTTCTTTTTCTTTTTATCGTATTTGTATTCAGTTTTGGAATAACTACTGATTGTAAACCAAAAATGACTGTGCCAAAACGTTTAGCTATTCACTTAACGTGGAAATAGGTTCACTTACAATAAGATACGTTTTTCTATGTTATGATATGTTGATTGTTATAAGTAATGGGAAATGTAAATATTTCAGAATATTATATTTGGTTATGAATGTAGACTAGTGATTTAGTAGCCAATTTTGTGTTTTAATTTCTAATACATGTTTTGTTAATTGACATAGACTCTTCATATTACAAAAATAATTTAAAGTCATCTGCCATCAGTGAAAAGAAATTATTTTGAATAGTATAATTATAGTCTGGTGAAAATTTATTTGAAATATGTCAAAAATACATAACATTTTGAGCAACTGTAAATATATATTTAAAAAACAACAACAACACAGTTTTGATATTTGCTTAAGACTCTTGGAAATAGAATGATTGTGATTAAATGTTGTTGGTGTGGTTTTCAGATTTCCACTGGATGATTCTGAAGAAATGGTCCTAATGTTGAAACACTGAAGATGAAGTTCTGCTAGATGAGTTTATTGCTGAGCTGGAGCATTTGCTCTTCACACTGAAGCTTCTTCACATTAAACTCACTCACTCACTATCCCTGAACCATTGTGGACATCTTCTGTGACGTCACCACTGCTCTTCCTGAAGGTTCTTCAGACTTGTGTGCATCCTGTTTCTTCTGAGAGAAATTGTGATACTCAAAGTTGTACAACTTGCAGGTAGATGATTTTGGGCCCTGTTGTAATTTCTCTGTTGGTAGTGACTCTCATTATGTCTACTTCCAAACCATATAGACTAAAGAGACTACTCTTTCTGAAATTGTATATTACTGCATGATATGGTGTTCTGAATTAGTTAATTTTCCTGGATATTGACTGATTGACATCCAAGCTGTCCTAAAGATGTTTTTTAAATGAAATAATAAATAAGAATATCCTCTGAAAAATGATGAACATGTCCACAGGCCATTTGTCCCTAGCAACATTACTGGATATGTAATTCTAGTTTGCTTTAGATTTGTACTAGTTCCACAGCATATCCCTCAATCCCTGTGAGTTTCCCAACAGCTATCCTCAAATTGTCTTTCATTTAAATCTGTCAGTGTTAGTAATAAAATGTGTCGACATAATTTAAACAGTTTGTTTTCAGTGCATGAGTTTGTTTAATGTTAATTCTTCAATACCCGATATTCTAATTGATCTCTATGCCATGGTGTATATGACTATATATTGTGGTATGGTGCGGTTGGTTTCTTACCATAGTCTCAATAACCAAAGGTTATTCTAATGGTAAACTGTTGTGCCATCTACCAAACAGGGTATACTGACCATGGTCTCATTTTCATTTCAGTAGTAATCCATGGTACACCATGGTCTCTTGTCACCATGGCTGACCATGGTACACCATGGACTCTTTTACCATGGTAGACCATGGTCTTATTTTACCATGATAAACTGTGGTGCCATTTACTGCACATGGTTAAACCATGATAGACCATGGTCTTTTTTTACCATGGTAGGCCATGGTACACCATGGTCTCTTTTTTACCATGGTAAACTGTGGTGCCATTTATCGGACATGGTAAGTCATGATACACCATGGTCAACCATGGTCTGTGAACCATGGTCTACCATGGTCTTTTGCATGCTCATTTCAGCTGGGTACCGTCTATAAGCCGACCCCATAGATAAGCCGACCACAAACTTGACCCTTAAAATCAGTGTCAAAATGGTATGTTTCGTACATAAGCCGATCCCCCCACAATGGGGTTCTAATCCTGGCAAACACAGACCACAGACAACTGGCAGTTACCAATAATTATAACTTTGGCCCACATTATTAAAAGAATTCACAGTAATATTGCATCTACTCACGCATCGAAATGAAGTGTAGTTGACAGAAAATGGATAATATATATTTTGTTTCGCTAAATATCATACTTATTGTAGCTGAACGATCATGTGGCAACAAACTGGCTTGCTTATTTTACCCCATTCCATGTGCATCCAACTTCCGCTAATACCACGTTCATGAGGGTCCGTATAACCTTAGTGTTGATTATATATATTTTACATTTATAGAACAAAAACTGTAATTAAAATTATGCAATGCTAGGATATATTTCTTTTGGTTAAATAATAGTGTTCTGTATTATATTTTACTGATGACTGCATCTGAATTCATAACGTTATACTATTGTGCATGTTTGAACTTGATCGCTGGGAAATGTGTGCACAGCTGATTGCTATTTTTGGCTCAAATACAAACAGTAATCTTAATCCCTGCAGATAATACAATGCCCAGCAAAACAACTTAGAACTTAAAAGGTAAATAATCTTGTCTAGTGATGTTTAATTGCAAATTTGACGTCTTTACTGACAAAGTCGTCTTCTGTTGTTTGTTCACACGAATTGATACAATGTTGTTTTCCTCACCCTGGAAAAAGTTTGACGAAAGCGTAACTCATAGATAAGCCGACCCCTTTCTACAGACTGCTTTTTTTATCCTCAAAATTTGGCTTATAGATGGTAATATACGGTACTCTGTTCTACCATTTTTACATCTGGTATTGGTGGCTCCTTTGGCATCTATGAGGTCAGTGTCATATGTAATAGTTCCCTAACTTTATATGGACCTCAGGATATATGGATACGAAGAAGTAGAACTGCTTAACATTTTTCAGGAGTATATATTAACTCAAAACTGTGTTTGGGTCAAGAATGTCTTACTTGTTCCCTGTTTGCAAATAGGACATTGCTTATATCATTAGACTACCAAGTGCTGTCACTCTGAACTACACCAAACACGAGTTAATGGAAGAAGTAAAGTGTTGAGTGCATAACTTGGAATTCACCACTCAGAAGCAGCCGAAACTGTCCACGATGAGTGCTTCTTTAACTGATGCTCACTGACAGTACAACATACCTGCTTGGTCCCCAGGTGCTGCACCACACAGGGAAGATGTGCCGTGTGCCCCATCCTGACATTCACAGTCGTCTGATTGCGGGTCAAATACACAGAATCCTTGATGGGAGGCCGCTTGTACATCGGTCCAACGTACTCCGGTTCCCTGTGCTCGTACTTGTGCCTGCGATGCTGGGGAACATGGTTCTTGTTGTGTTCTGGAACAAAATAAATATAAACTAAAATATATCAATAAAGACATGGTTACAATTTTACAAAGTACAGTCATGGGACATAAGTATTCGTCAGTCGGCAAAATTCTCATAGATTTGCATGTTATTTTAGTGTAGCTGTAATAATTTTCATTAATACAGTTTCCGTTATTTGGTTGTCAAATTTTGCAGGTTGTTAGGAAATCATCTTGGTCACAGATACATAATTTCCATGTAATGTTCCTTCAAGTATTTTCCGCATTGTAGTTACATGAGCAACATATATACAACATTGTGTATTCTTTCCCCATAGACCGCCATGTTAAAAATTGTCATAACCATGACACGCATCATTCAAAGTGTGGTCATTCTTGAAATACTGAATGGAAAATAAAACGGAAATTACGTCTTTGTAGCTGAGATGATTCATGACCCATGTGCAAAATATGAACAAGATCAAACGAAAAATAATTCAAGACATTTGTTCTAGCTGCACCAAATTAACACGTAAGTCTAGGGAAATTATGCACAGTGACGAATACTTATGTCCACTGACTGTAGGTGAGTGAGAGAGTTTAGTTTTATGCTGAACTCAGCAATATTCAAGCTATATGCTGCAGTCTGTAAATAATCAAGTCTGGACTAGACAATCCAGTGATTAACAGCATGAGCATCGTTCTATGCAATTGGGATAAGATGACATATGTCAACCAAGTCAGCTAGCCTGATCACGCGATCCTGTTAGTCACCTTTTACGACAAGCATGGGTTACTGAAGATCAATTCTAACCCGGATCTTTCATGAGCACTATATATTACAGAGTGAGAGTTAAGGTTATTTATTGCTGTAGTCAGCAGTTTCTAGATATCATGGCTACCTTGCCGTCCCTGGGGACAGACAAACTCGAAACTTATGAATACCCAGTTGCACAATATGCCAGGAAAAACATAAAAAACCCATTGTGACATTTTCATCCACTTTATGGTGTGTCAGGGCTTTCGGCCACAAAGCAATATTAGTTGCTGTGGCGTTTTAGGTCTGTGTTAAACAACGTGAGTTACGACAAAGACTGTTTTGTTGAAAAGGTCAAAGAAATAGCCTAGAAATAATGGTAAGATTTAGGGTTATTGCTTCTGCATGCCTTTCTTCTCAACCATCAAAGACCTGTTTTTTTGAGATCTGTATTCATGTGTTATGAGTGTATGCACACAATGAACGCTGAAGTACGGCCTTGACGTAGAGTTACTGTTGCTTGTCATGGAAAGAGCTGCACAGTAAAGTGATGGTGTATGTGATGGTGTATGTACACTGGGGTTGTATCTATACCACTAGCCACCTTTAAACCTAATACAAATGCTTCATAATGACTTTTAATTAATCCAAGGGGAAACAGTGCCTCGTCAGCTGCTATTCACTCGAGAGTTCTGTCCCTTAGGTGTGTCATTATCCTGTGATCATGAGCTCTAATTGCCGAATTACCCTGATAATGATTGTTGGTTTTTCTGCACTACCTTGACCTTGGGTTTCAACATAGGCGTCAATGTCTAACATGTGCATCATATTGGGCTTCCACAGTATACTGACTTGATGGGATAAAATGAAAATAATGTTAAAAGGCTCTAAACCCAACTCAGAAATTAACTGGTTCAGACAATCAGCTTCATTATTCGCACAAAACACTAAAATCCCACAAAACAAAACGACCGTAGTTACATCAAATACAGATTATTGTGATATTTCATCATGATTTAATTGAACAAATAGATGAAAAATTGTTAAAAACCTTATCTGCTAATGATTTTATTACTTCTTACATGTACTCGAATGTATTTGAATTAATATATGTACTTGTACTAATAGCCTATTTCTGGTGTCCCCCCCTCCCCATGATATTGCTGGAATATTGCTAAAAGCGGCATAAAACCATACTCACTCATCGAATCGTAAAACCTCACTCACTCACTCAATTAAATGTACTAACCCCACACACATGCATTGCACACACAGTGAATATATCCAAACCATTAGAACTCTTTCAACACTGGATCGGACTCCTTTATCGATCAAACTTACTAGTAAAGGGTGGCATGATGAGCAGATGAGCAATTATCTAACTTGGTGTGTATAGACCATGAAAGCTAAGGTAGGCAAGTGACTAAGCAAAGGCTGTCACACTCGTACAGCAACACATACAAACACATAAATACCCAGCAGAGGGTGACATGTAATTTCAGATCGATCTCCATAAAATTCTTCATTATAAATCAGGATTCCGATTTTGTTGAAAGAAATGTGAAAGGGAACTGGAAAATAAAAGAGGCTTACATCGGTTTGCCAAATGCCGTTCTGACTGATGGCAAGAAACCTCTAAAGCAGGCCTACAGCATAAACAAATCCCACTTAAACGTAAGAACTTGCACAAACCTTAAAGAGATTTCTATTGTGAAAAATATAGCTTTGTTTGTATTCAAACTGAGCACTGTTTCACAAACATTTGTAACAGAATCTCACTAAGAACGTGAGTTTGGAGCTCAGATTGAGACGCTTCAGTATTCTCATTAACAGCTTCAAAAAAATAATTTTCTTTTTGTCAAGGGTAATGCTTTACGAAAAAAACTTCAGTTTTATGTGATGATTGGTAACATGTGCTAAATACTTTGAAACATGGGGCTACGATTTTCTCTTGTTTCAAAGCAAAATCTGCCGATTTCTGTTATGTTGCGTTTATATATACTCTTAGAAAACAAAGTCGGAGGCAGTGCATAGTTTTTGATGCATACTCCACAGTGAGGCTCTCATGGAACTGAGGACTAATGGGCTGTTCCAGAGTAAACAGCAGCCGGAATGTTATCAGGACACCAGTCACTGCTGTCTGGGATGCTGGGGACATTTGGTGCCGTGTACCAAATTATGGCACATATCTGAAGTTGCACTGTATAGAAGTTGTGATGTATAACAACGGCCTATAACTCATCCTTGAGAGGGTCTAGGTGAGATCTTGATAAGACTTGTTGAACTTTCGGTGAGATCTTAGTGAGATCCTGGTGAGACCTTTCATACGACTTTTGGGAGAATCTGATGATACCTTGATTAGACCCTTTATAAGATCTTGATGAGACTTCGGTGAGATCTTGTTAAGACTCTCATAAGATTTTTGGGAGAATCTATTGAGATCCTGCTGAGACCTTTCATAAGACCTTAGTGAGAACTTGATTAGACTCTAGTAAGATCTTGGTGTGAGCTTTCATATGACCTTGATGAGATATTGATAAGGTTTGGGAAACTCATTGGTGAGCCCTTTGCTGAGATCTTCATTAGACCCTTATAAGATCTTGATGAGACTTCGGTGAGATCTTGTTAAGACTATCATAAGATTTTTGGGAGAATCTATTGAGATCCTGCTGAGACCTTTCATAAGACCTTAGTGAGAACTTGATTAGACTCTAGTAAGATCTTGGTGAGAGCTTTCATATGACCTTGATGAGATATTGATAAGGTTTGGGAAACTCATTGGTGAGCCCTTTGCTGAGATCTTCACAAGACTTTGATAACACAATGGTGATTGATAGGATATTGATAAAACCTGAAAGCATCTTGGTAAAATTGTGTGTGTTTCATGCTAAAAGATGATGGTTCCATGTGGTGATACAGGATACATATGCAATCTTGGCCCATATGGTGTATTTGATAAAGTAAACACAGATGGAAACACACACACTGATTACCTTCCTCTGTAGGTAGTTTGAGGGCTTGATGTGAGATGGTGTATTTCGAAGTAAGGCAGGTGGCTTAGGATAGTTTATATATACATGTTATGAATAAATATTGTATTAGCAAGCCTTGGTGTTTTTATCAAGTGTCATTCTTACTTTCTGGCATTAGTAAAATGCCTTGTCTCTCACACATTTAAAGTCAACTCAGTCAGCAAGCCTGACCATCCGATCCCAAATCTATCTAGGACATGTAAGTTACTTGTATTACAAATATTCCAGGCAGAGGAAGCACCTACATACACCCAGTGTAATGACTAGCTCCAGGCAGAGGAAGCACCTACATACACCCAGTGTAATGGCTAGCTCCAGGCAGAGGAAGCACCTACATACACCCAGTATAATGACTAGTTCCAGGTAGAGGAAGCACCTACATACACCCAGTGTAATGACTAGTTCCAGGCAGAGGAAGCACCTACATACACCCAGTGTAATGACTAGTTCCAGACAGAGGAAGCACCTACATACACCCAGTGTAATGACTAGTTCCAGGCAGAGGAAGCACCTACATACACCCAGTGTAATGACTAGCTCCAGGCAGAGGAAGCACCTACATACACCCAGTGTAATGACTAGCTCCAGGCAGAGGAAGCACCTACATACACCCAGTGTAATGACTAGCTCCAGGCAGAGGAAGCACCTACATACACCTAGTGTAATGACTAGCTCCAGGCAGAGGAAGCACCTACATACACCCAGTGTAATAACTAGTTCCAGGCAGAGGAAGCACCTACATACACCCAGTGTAATGACTAGTTCCAGGCAGAGGAAGCACCTACATACACCCAGTGTAATGACTAGCTCCAGGCAGAGGAAGCACCTACATACACCCAGTGTAATGACTAGCTCCAGGCAGAGGAAGCACCTACATACACCCAGTGTAATGACTAGCTCCAGGCAGAGGCAAGCACCTACATACACCCAGTGTAATGACTAGCTCCAGGCAGAGGAAGCACCTACATACACCCAGTGTAATGACTAGTTCCAGGCAGAGGAAGCACCTACATACACCCAGTGTAATGACTAGCTCCAGGCAGAGGAAGCACCTACATACACCCAGTGTAATGACTAGTTCCAGGCAGAGGAAGCACCTACATACACCCAGTGTAATGAAGCAGTCCAGGAAGCAGAGGAAGCACCTACATACACCCAGTGTAATGACTAGTTCCAGGCAGAGGAAGCACCTACATACACCCAGTGTAATGACTAGTTCCAGGCAGAGGAAGCACCTACATA